ATTTGATTCTGGTGCCCTGCATCTTGTATATACATTTTTCTAATTTGGGGAGGGCAAAGGAAATAACAAAATGCTGAAAAAAGGATACAGGTTGACCTATTGTAACAATAAGGCCTACAAGACACTATGTTGAAAACAAACTTTTTTCAACTTCGGGGTTGTGGGGAGGGAGGTGTTGGGGAGGAGAGGAAGGAAGGGATAGTAGGGGAAAACAAAGGATGGGTTAATAATGCTCAATAAGAAGTGTACTCATTACCTTACTCATGTAACTGTAACTCCTCTGTACAGTATCTTTACAATAAAAATATTAAAGAAATAAACAAAACATAAGTAAAGCCATAAATTCTTTTATAAATAACATAATATAAATGTTTTGAAACTGCTTTTCATCATCCATGGTTTTCAATCATCTTTATTGCATGTTTATACAGTTTATATAAAGTAACATGCACTCATTGTATGCATACAATTTAATTCATTTTACATATTAATATAACTGTGTATGCACATTCCAGCCAAGAAAAATAAAATTTTAAGCATTTCCCAAATGTTCCATTATCACCATTTCAACCAGTTCCTCACATACATCCTTCATCCTTCATTTATTTAATATCTATCACAATAGATTATAGTGTGGCATATTCCTGAACTTCATGTGGATGAATTCCTGCATTTTCTCTTTCTGGCTGTCATCTTTAACTCTATTTTTGAGAATTTTCCACTACTTGTATCCATAATTCATTTCTATTGCCAAGTTAGATGTCATTGTCCAAATATGCCTCAACTTGTTTACTATTCTTGCAGATGGTCTTCTGGACTCGCTGTGCTTTTGGCTGTTATGAACTAAGTTACTAAGCACCTTCATCCAAGTGCTTTTCTGAAAATATGTTTTCATTTCTCTTCAATAAATGTCTAGGAGTGGTAATACAGGAAGTATGTTAATGTAGTCGTATGTTCAGCTTTAGAAGAGATTACCAAAATGTTTTCAAAGTACTATTTTATACTCCCATCTCTATTTGCTCTAGATCCTAGTCAAATAATAGAATTCTCAGTGACATTAATTTAAATTATTCTATTGAGTAGTGCTGGTCATAACTTAAATTTGCATTTTCTTCACAATATCATGAAATCAGGCATAGCTCCCTTTTTCTTGATAATAGATAAAAGCCTTGAACATTTCATCACTAAAGTTTGGAAGCCCTCTTTATTCGTTTTGTGTTTTTTTGTTTTTTATTTTTATTTTTATTTTTTTTGGTAATTGCCCTTAGTGTAAGGAAATGAGTTGCCATTTTGATTTCATTTAAGAGGAAATCTTTCCGATTTTCAATTTAGAAGCCCACTGTACTAAAGGTACCAATTAATTTGGAAAGAATTGATAACTTCTATTATAGCCTTGCCCTGGAATATGGTATACTTACCATTTATATGGATGTGTTACATATTTTCTCCAAAACTATACTTCATGTACATTATCTTTTCTGCCTTATTTTCATGGGATTAGCAGGAAGATGATAAATAGCTACTTGGAAATTGGGACATGAAATGATTGTTACTTTTCTTTATAAGGGCTATTTCATAATACTCAAAGAATATCATTTACGAGAATTACAGATTCTCCTTGTTAATGGTGGCGCACACCTAAAATGAATGAATCATGGTCCAGATGCAAGGTCAGGAAGAAAGTGAGACCTTATTCCAAAACTACCAAAAATAATAAAAGGACTGAAGATATGACTCTGTAGTAGAATGCCTGCCCTGTAGTAAATTCAAGGCCCTGTTCTCAAACCTCACTAATGCCAAAAAAAAGAGAAGTCTTCAATTTGCTAAAGTGATTTCCCATTCCAAGAAGACTTTGTCACTAGAATATAAAAGTAATGTTGTCATTAGAAACATATTCATTAACAGAAGAGAAGAATGTTTTGTCTTTCATTCTATTAAATTTTCAGAGGATGGTACCATAGGCAATGATACAGAATTCAGATTTAAATTCAATAAAATTTTCTTTGTTTTCTCAATTATATTTTCTTTGTACATACTTTTGTTGGTATAAATTTCTATATTCAGCTTAATTCAAAAATTCTTTGAGTATGCTCTTCATCATTTATTGAAAAATACATCAGTGGTCTTATTTGGTAGAAGTCAATATATAGTCTATATTTATTTCCTTTTTAGTCCTACCATGTGAAAACTACAGACTGATATGGGACAAAGAACCTATAAATATCACAAAGAACCTTTACAAACTGAAAATGAAATATATTATCTTATTGATATATATTGTTCACCGACCAACCTCAGTAAATGACTATCTTAGGTTTTTGAAGTTTACTTTACTTTTTAAAACATTTTTATACACATAATCTAATCTGTTCCTCAGAAGGTCTTCATGACCAGTTGGATATATTAGACCCAATTCTCCATGGAAACCCTATTCAGAAAGTGAAACCATTTACCACAAATGAATACTTGCACTAAGAAGGCAAGTTATTTTGTTAAGATTATGCTTTATCACCTCTTTGCCATCTTTTTAACCTTTTACTATCACTCAGGTAAGAATTTCAGTCCTCATCAGATTTCTACTTTGAGTTTTCGAAAAGCCCGTGAAAATAGATTTTTAGTCATCACAATTGGAACTTAACAGAAGGCACCGCTGATTTTAGTTTTTAAAATCGAGTGTACCAAAGTATGCACTGCTAATCTTTATGAAGAAGTAATGTTTAATTCATTTTTAATGAAACATTCATTATACATATAATCAACAAACTAAAAATCCTGCCTGAAAGTGCAGGAGGCAAGTCGAGGTGATGTCCACAGCTGCCCGCCTCCCTGGCGCACCATTCTGCCAGGCTCCAGTTTCATCTGGTTTATATGAAACACATGTTGCTCATTTATTGTACATGTGCTTCAGCTAATTTTGACAAAGAGGAGCTGAAAAAAATGTTACAGGTGTTCCTTGTTATTTTAATTTGCACTTAGTAGCCACCTATTGAGCATGAGTGTACATGGATAGTTTCACAACCTAATAAAGAGAAAATTTAGCTATCATTACTATGTGAGCTTCAGTTACAGTTTCTTGACATAATATAGCTAGTGAGCCAGGCACATGTAACAAGATATGTGTGTGTGTGTGTGTGTGTGTGTGTGTGTGTGTGTGTGTGTGTGTGTGTGTACTGAAAATGAAGTCAATATCCCGAATCTCCCCTGGTTGTGGGGATTCAATCTAGGACTGAAAGGCATTTGCATCTTAGGCCAGTGTTATATTATCTGTGTGGAGCCAAGTCTTTAAAAAATGTTTCACATAATTTCAGGAAGATGAGTCTGATAAGCATTATCTTGGAAGAGAAATAATAGTACTATTCTGTTTTATGTAGGTATGTATTCATGCATGTTGGTCAAAAGATAAACACCACTATATATATGTATATATATGTGTGTGTGTGTATATCTGATTTAGATATCTGTTCTCTTAGCTTTCCCCTCATATTTATTTATTGGGGAGCTCAGTAAATTTTATTTTAACTTTCTTGCTACAAAACACCAGATATGGATTTTACTCTTTCCCAGGGACTGACTGTGAATATTAAATATAATTTCTTGGATAGTGAATTCTAAGGATAAATCTAGTTTCTCTCTGTGGTGACTACGTCTTAATTATTTTTAACATAAAATGTATGTCATTATATTATATTCATATATAAAGTGTTACTTTTATATTTATATATGCTCTAACACAATTTTATTTACATATTGATATGTAATACAAAATCAAATTAACACTTAAGTATCTCTAAAATCATGATACAAATAAATCACTAAATTTCAGTTTATTGGCCATGACATTTTCTATATGTGTAATCCAGCAGAAATAAGCATAAGATATAGTTCTTATCATAGTAGAATAATTACTGCTACTTATTTTATGACTTAATAGAAATCTGAGACAAATTTACATAGATGAAGTAGTTTGGTATATTATCATTATTGAATGACATAGAGTCTGCTGAAAATTTTTCTTTCTAAACAGCTCTAATTTACTACAACCTGGTTAATTTCTTCCTTGTCAGTTTCATCAAATTCTCCCTCATCATCTTTGGGAAATGAGATAAAGATGATTTCCTATAACCTGTTCAGAAATCTCTGTTGGCACCACAGTAACTATCATTTTATAAACTTGCCACACACTACACAGTTTTATTGCTGCTTTTCTCAATTTCTGCTGAGGAAACTTCAAAATAGTTCATATTGGGTTGAACATAAATCTAAAGGGCAAATACTCTAATCATTTACCTACATCTTTAAATATGCAAAACACTGTGGCCACCTATGACTGATGATGTATAGATATAAGCAGGTTAGACAGGCACCTTAAACTCCATACATGCAATTAGACCGTTATTTTTTTAATTCCCCCCAACACTAAAAACCACAGGGCAATTTAAAATTGCCCTACATTTCCCTAAAGAGCTACTGTGTGTTGTCTAGAGGCTGCATAATCCCTGCAGTGTCAGGGGTGACTGTTCAGCTGTTCAGGATCACGAGATATCTCTACACTCATAAAACAGAGCATTCAAAACGCAGGGACACACATAGAAGTACAGATCATTATGACAGCCTTGGAAGTCATCCACAAGAAACGTCATTTCCCTGAAGGCCAAAATGACCCTACTGAATCAACATTTACAGCTTTGGTTCAAAATCCAATTCAACACGTTGAGAAAAAAATCCATATTGAAATAAAATACCAATGGAATAATTTTATATTTGGCTTATTCTGATAAATGAAATACAGAGGATCTAAAAGAACCCATAGGATATCTTTTTTTAAACATTTTTACTGGGTAATATTTATTCTGCATAAGATAAGTAACTACCCTAAAATAGTAATTTTCTAGAACTGTCCATACAATGGTAAATCCGTTTAGTAAGGCAACAGCCAGGGAAGCGTGAAGAATTCCACAAGATTGTATGTTTCAATTCAGAAGCATAAAGGGGTAATTTTGGCCCCTGGGATTTGAAAGTATCTTCTGGCTGTAATCTTTGGTCTGATTTACATGGTGGTTTCTTCCCATTCAAGCTCAACATCACCTAAAACATAAAGTGAGATGTCGCCAGAGATTATTAAAGGTAACTGCTCAAAGGACTGAAATATTCAATGGAAAAAACGTATAATCCAGATAAAACTATGATTAATAAAGGAGAAATGAACTTTTTTGACATGTGCACAGACCCAGCTACACATTTTAATGTTGTGGTTATTAAATTTTAATATCCCTATGATAGGTGGGAAGCTAGTTAATCGGGTGCACCTGGTGCCAGCCTACCTTCCATGGCATCCAAAGAGTCCATCTTCTGAAGTGCAGAGTAGTTGACAAAGCAGATGGGCTGGTTACTTCCTTTATTGGATAAGAGATCCAGAATGCACTGGTGCAAGAAAATATATTGTGCCTAGATATCAAAGGAAGAGTAGTTAAACAAATACCACAGTGGAAAACGTTAATGAATTCAACAATGGGAAATAACTAAGCTAGAAACAGATTTGACCACAGCACATAAAAGGTTTTATGGCATTTCAAACATAAAGTTCACTGAATTCCTGTGGTTTCCTGTTGCTTTTGTAGAATATCAAGTGTTAATGTATTTTTCCTGCTGTGATTATTCAAAAGTAGCAACTCTTGCTAAATTTGTTCATAAGTCTCCATTTTCCTAATAAATGTAACTGAGTATTTTCTCTTATAAATACTTTTCTTGCTATCATACAGACAACATGCTTACTTTTGAAATCAGTGAAGGGAGCATCTTTATATACTATTGACAATTTTTAAAGATATTATAGCAACTCTTCTAATTATCCGGACATCTAAGCCACTTAATGTCAACTGTCTGTTTCCAATTTGTCAATACCAGGCAGTTAACTAGTGAAAATCCAAGCATCCAGGTGCTAGTCCAGTACTTTTAATTTTTCACCTGAATGTTTGTGTTAAATAGAGTACCATCTGGATGTTTTATGTTTATTCAATATATTTCAATAGATCATTAGCATTTCTGAATTTGGACTTTCTGAGAAGTAGTGAAGACTAGAGGCAACTGTGTGCTTTAAATCAGTCTTATTTGTACACATTAAACAAACCTGAATGACATATGCAAATCTGACAATTGATTTAAGTCAAACATCCTCAAAAGCAATATTTTTGGCAGGTTATCTTCCTATTTATTGTGACAATAACTGAAAAGCATTTTGTCTATTTGAATGGTGTTTAGAAATCACTGATTATTATTAATAATATCTATTTCCTCATGGATAACAAATCATCTCCAAGACCATCTCATCATTATAGTGTCCGTTCTATGAGAGAGCTGCATTTATAGTCAGTGTTACTTACCCATTACGTGTTAATAGTGCCCATCACAGAGTAGTTGTATAATAGTGCTCAGCACAGAGTAGTTGTATAATACATATTTGTTGCCTTAGTCTCATTTCATTCTCAGAGCTACCCAAATTTTACCATTTAGGAATGGATGGAATTTGGATGGAAAGCCTGCAGAAGTCACTGGGGGGGCCAAGTTTTGCAAGTAAGATGATCAATTTACAAATAAAGGATCAAGTTCCACAATTCAGTTTGGAGAACAAAATGAAATGTTGTCTTAGTACAGTGATAGTAATCATTCTGAAATTATAAATTACTTTTTTACAGTAACTCCAAATGAGTATTTTCATCACAACATGAAAGACATTCTTCAAGTTATTTATACTTGTAGATTCCTGTGCTTTTTGAAAAAAATGTTCAGTTAAATTCGAAGTCACATTTGATATATGAAGCATGTGACTCTTCAGATCTCATCCTCTCCATTGGAAAGAATGATGGGTCTGATCTCTGCCAACAGAGTAAGCTGAGCTCCACAGCCAGTCCTGTGGGTTCCAAGGTCTCCCTGCCCTCTGTCTGTATTACTGCTGCCAAGGAGAGTATCTCGTGTCATGTAAAGCCCAGTTTCTACTGTGGATTAGCCATCCAAACGCTACCTTAAACTTTTTTAAAATGTTACCTGAAACTTTTCTGATGCTCAATCTCCTCACCTGGGATCAAAAGACCTATACTCTGAGATCTAGAGGACAATATAAAATGTGTGACAATAAATCGGACATCCACAAGAGGATAGCTAGTATTTTCTTTCACTGCATGAACTGACAGCAATAAGTTTCCAGAAGAATCCAGAGCAGCCACAGGAATCACCGAGATCCATCAAGGCACCAGTAACATTTCAAATATTATGTGAGGGCAGAGCTGCAAGTCCTCTCAAACCTCCTTAACAAAGCTCTCTGCTGAGTGGAGGCCATAGCCCTCTGGTGTCATTGAGTGGCAGTATATTACAGAGACTGGCTGTCTCCCAGCCCTCAGTGTGGCTTCTGTTGTATGTGTTGAGACATGATCATTTTTCATGGAAACAGGAATCACTCCCCAGTGCAACTGAAGAAAATAAGAAACCATCCTGTGCAAGGCGATGCTAGCTTTATAAAGGCCAGAGCCAAGACACGGTTATTTTCCTGTTTTCCATCATGGGAAAAAGATCGTAAGAGTGTAACTTCAGGAAACCAAAACAAATGAAAGAGAGCTCCTGAATACCCAGCTTTCCTTGGGAAGGAATCCAGGAAACTCTTGTGAGACATTTAACTACACATTGAGGCCTATGTTTTCTCTTGTGGAACACAACAAACTTCTGAAAATAGTAACATATCACAAAAAGAAATAGCTCAGAGAGGTTGAAGTCTCACATTGAAAATCAGCAGAACTAGATTCTGAACTCAGTTTTCTGACGGAAACTTTCCCATTCTTCCATCCAACCTGAAATACACTGCTCTGTGACTAGTTAGAAAAGTAGAACATACGAAGTTTGCACCATATACATTGGGTGAAAGAATTAATACATATTCTTCCTGAACACACACTTCACAAAGTTCAATTCCTCAGTTTTAAGGAATGTCAAATTTATTTCAAGTTACATTATTTGACTCTAGACTCTAGAAGGAAACAATCTACCCCAGCTTTTGTCCTATACCAGACAGATAACTATTAATTTTGCCAAGAGAAATTTTTAACCAAAAATAAGTAAATGATTTTAAAGATAGTCAATAGTTGGTTTGGTACTGAAGACTAAGACCCTTGAAGGATCAGCTGCATGATTTCCGGCTGCCACAGCAAAAAGAAATTGCAATATCCTTCTCCCAAAAATTACTAAGGCGGTAAAACAAACATTCAATCAAATGAGGTAAAAGTAGCTGCAATGTAATCAGATATTGAAGAAAGCCTAGATTGTCTCTTAAAAGTCACAAATAACTTGAAATGATATGTTTTAAATTATTATCAAAATGGAAGAATCTTACCTCTGCATATATTTTCCTTTTTGAAAATACAAAGCCTTGGCAATGAGTGCTTTTGCTCTGAGGTACTAGGGTTTGAACTCACACTTACGCTTTTACTACTGAGCCGCATCCACAGCCCTAGTTTGATATTTCTGGTTACTTTTTGGATAGGGCCTCACTTCTTGACTGTACATGTTCGTAGGCCACCTCATCTAGCAATTCCTGAGGAGTCTTGTGGACATTTTATCTGGGCTGTCCTGTGACCATAATCCCAACAAGGTAAGCTTCCCAAGTAGCTAGTATTACAGGCATGAGTCACCAGAACCCAGCTACTTCACAAGGTTTCTTAAGTACTAGATTTCTATCTTATCCTCACAATCTTTCATTCCATATTTTGCTTATATTTCATAATTTACATAATTATACAATCTATGCTTTAAAAATACATATTTCTCATGAGAGCTAAGTACTCAAGCACTGTTCCTGAGAAGTCTGATTGGCCTATGGCAACACCTTTCCAAGAGCACTTATGTCCTATGACATACTGGTACAGGCCTGGAGTTCAAAATGGTAAAAGGTTCCATGAAGAAGAAACTTTGGGAAATGACCTAATGGCACTGTATGTATTATCCATACACATTAGCCCAAGAGCTTTAAGTAACTCTGTTTTAGAAGCAGTTTGCTTTTATTTATTTTAGCCCAGAACCCTGTTTCTTCTCCCTATCAGTAATAAGTTCAATGCCACTTACTCTTTTAGAACATACTGTTGAAAGATGCTGTGACAACAGATCTATGTGTTTGCTACAATACACCCTCTGGATTTGCACAGCATTCAAAATACACTCAAAAGATACAGATACCATTTTGGCTCCGTCACTTGAATAAAAATACCTTCAATATCACTTACTTTCTTCAAGCATATCTTCCCTAAATATAAAGTTCTCGTAAAGTACAAGCAGTAATACCTAGGTTGTTGTTTAGTTTTTATTGGCTCTGCTTTACAAATAACTGATTAAACCAGGATTAAATAAGATGAGACACATAGAGGATCCAATATAGCTCGTAGAGCTGACTAAACAATGGAGGGTTTCTAGATTCACTGGCAATAAACGGTATGCTTTTCTTAATGAAGAAAAATGTATCGACTTTATGAATGTTTTTGTCTCCACACCAAAATAATAAAGACTTTCCACTCTGTTAATATTCTGTAATAATCATTACTACTAATACACAATAGAAATAAATATAGACAAATAAAATCCATAGAAACTCATTGAACAAACATTTTAAAGGTTGGTTTCCCCCCAATTATACCTTTTAGACTACTTATAAATGAAATTGTCTTGTAATTATTTTCTAGGTTTCCCAATGTAGCTATGTGATAAACAACAATTAGTTTAAGAAATTACTTTCTTCAGACATATCAGTAGACATTCACTAACAGGACTTCCCAATGACTTCAGTACTGCCATAATCTCTACCAGGTGCCCTCCCCAACAGGTTTACAATGCAGGAAAAAGCATTCCTGCTATGCAAATCCAGCTTCAAAACCCACTTCCAAGCAAGTGGCTGCTCAAAGATCCTCCCACATGGAAAGTTTAGAGCTACACAGAGCAGAGGAGTGAGCGTAGGCTGGGGAGCTTACCAGGTTCTGCACCATGCACATTCTCTCACTTCTCAGTTCAGCCACTAGTCCATATATATCCACAAAATCATGGTCATTTATATGCTGTGTCAGGTGATCCAGAGCAATAAAAACCCCAGTTCTTCCAACTCCCGCGCTGTAAGAAGGATGAGGTTCCATGACAATGATTCAGTAAAGATTTGTTCATGTTGATGGTGATGAGGAAAATGAGCAAAATTTATTTTGAACCAATTTTTTGTTTATCTAGAGTTAGATTTTCTTTGAGTTTGTAAATTTTTTGATGGCACTAAGACTGTGATTTAGACAAAGCAAAATGATGCTGAAATGAGTATTAGTAATCTATAAGAAAATACAACTTGGTATCATGGTAACATTAAGACCTTATTGATAACAATGGGTCAACCTGTATCCTTATTTCTTCATTTTGTTCCCTCCCTGAATTAGAAAAATGTATATACAAGATGCAGGGCACCAGAATAAAATACAGTGAAAACAGGGGTTATACCATGGGGAAAAACAAAGGAGGGGGTAACAATGCTTGACAGGAAATGGACTCATTATCTTACTCATGTAACTGTAAGCCCTCTGTACAGTATCTTTACAATAAAATATATATATTTAATTTTAAAAGACCTTATTGAGTTTCAGGTTCATTTCTAGCCTTAAGTGGGTTCTAAACCTGTCTTTCTTACCTGCAATGAACGATCATTGGTGTGGTATCATGTGCTCTGCTTGCTCTAACCAGCTTCACAAAGTGAATTAGAGGGGTACTATTTTCAGGAACTCCATGCTCAGGCCAACCAGTGAAGTTACACTGCCGAACAGTCATGAAGTCCCCATGCTAGGCAAAGTGAGATTAATTCATAATAAAGTTATTTAAGAACTTCTATGAAGACCAGTGCTGTGCTAGCCCTTGATTTGTGATAGGAAAATGACCATTTGCCTAACAAACAAATTTTGTTTTCTTATTTTTATAAGATTTTTATTAGAGTAAAATGAATTTATTTCCCTTATGAGTGATAGCAAAAAACTTTGCAAATAAATCTTCAAATAGAGTATTAACACTCGAATAACATGATATAACAGAATAGTTGATTTTGAAATGATGTAGACCTAAAACAAATTAATAAAATATAAAATATTAGGTTTTAAGTGTCTAAAATATCAAAAAGATTCTTAGACTGTTTTCTCTGAGACATTTATATGAATGGGTCTCTTCTATTCTATCTCTTAAATAAAAAGAACATCAAAAATTTAAAACTCAGAGATGAGTGACTTGGAAATAAAATAATCCAGTTTCTTCATTAAACAAAACACACTTAAGTCATATAATTTACTGCTCTTCTTTTTCTTTTCCTGCTTTTTTTCAATCTAAGAGTTTGATGCTGATATGTAATTTATGTGATTTAGAATTAAACAGTGACAAAGATAGTCAATTAAAAATGTTCAGAATACAACTGCTGAATATATGGATATACTTGCAAGGGATAGTCATAGAAATTAATTTTACTTTGGATACTTAGATCATTCACATTACATATCATTTCCTTTTCTCTCTTTCTTTTTTATACCCTTTCAATTTTCAAATCCCTGATGGTCCAGTCTATCTGGATATCTTCCATGAGTTTTGTGATTACTATATCACCAAAGACAGTAACAGGTTTGTTGTCCTCCGGCCAGTACTGATGGCATCTGATCTGTATTTGGAGAAAAATCACATCATGCATTACTGTTGTATTGATTTTCATGACAATTATTGCTACAAAGTTAAAACAGCTTTATGGATAGCTATTTTATAGACATTACTGAGGGCTTGTAGTATGAGCTGAAATACATGTTATATGCATGTATGTTAAAATATATTTTAATATAATTATAAAGTCACATTTTGTGAAAGGATTTTCATATCACTTACCCGTCCTTTTTCAAAACACTGCGTTAACATTACTAATGTCTTTGCTCTGGTTTCCCACACCATTCTCCAAAAATCTCCAACTGTTCCTGGCAATGGGCCTTGAGTGGCAATAAATTCATTGGGACATAGGTAGCCCTAGAAGGATATAATTACATGTACAGCATTAGTAGATTATATTGATATACAGTCTGTGTGTGTATGTGTGTGTGTGTGTGTGTGTGTGTGTGTGTGTGTGTGTGTGTGTGTGTGTGTGTGTGTGTGTGTGTTAGCTAGTCCTGGGGTTTGAATTCAGGGCTTGGGCAGTGTCCTTGAGATTTTGTGTTCCAGGCTAGTCTTCTACTACTTGAGCCTCAGATCCATTTCTGGCTTTTTGCTGGTTAATTGGAGATGAAAGTCTCATAGACATTCTTTCCCAGGATGGCTTCAAACTGCTATATTCACATCTCTGACTCCTGAGTAACTAGAATTACAGGTATGAGCCACCAATGTCCAATAGAGATAGTATTTTTATGGTTTTGATTAATACCTAAAAATACTCTAGTTGTAATGATCTTATATTTTAAAATATATTTTATGTTAAATAACGGATACTCAAATTTCCAAAATATATCATTAGCCTTAAGTCTAAAGTATGATAAAGATTTTTTTGAGAGTAGGTATCAAAAGATGGATAAACAGATGAACTCAGTCATGATTTCAAAGGAAGATGAGGAAGTCTTTAAGATAATCATATTGTAAGGAAAATCAGGAATTTATATGAAACAAATTTATGCTGAGATTATATCATATTGAAACCACTAATAGAGATGCAAGTGGAAATGCCATGAAGACAATTAGACATGCCTGTTTGGAATGTAGGAAGAAGTTCAAAGTTCAGAAATTGAAAACAAATCAGCATACTGATCTTACTTAATGTCATTAGAATAGATGAGATCTCCAAGAAATCCAATGAAGAAAGATACAGTAAGTTCAAGAATTGATCTTCAGATAATTGTAAGCTACACAGGAAGGTTAAATAGGAGATCACTGTTTGGCTGGCCCATGGAAAAAGGAAAACCCCATTTTAAAAAATAATGAAAGCAAAAAAGGCTGGTGGCATGGCTCTGATTTTAGAGCAATTGTCTAGCAAAACAAGACCCTGAGTTCAAATCCCAGTATGGCCAAAGAAAATAAATAAGTAGAAAACTTAAAAATAGTAACTTACAGAAACATAGCTGGCATTAATGTAATCTGATCCTGGAATAGTTGCATCAGCTATAAGCTTCACGCGGTTATTATTGTCTAAGAAAAAAAACAAAGAATCCACACTAACTGGTCTTTTAAATCTCTACCACCTTTATACTATAAAAATAATATGAGTTTGTATTACATTCCAAGTTTATATATGAGTATTAAATTAAGGAAATTATCTTTTCTCATATTTCTGCTACCCAGAGATAAATGTAGATATATATCCAGAATTTTTGTACACATTCTTTAGAAAACTAACTACAAATATCTTTCTAATCTTCACAAATAGGCATAATTTTCCTAGCTCATTATTTTAAAAAGACAACCATTATTTTCATTAAGTATAGCATACTTATTTAACTATTTATCATGATTTAAATTAATCTTGTTTGTTATTATAAAATGCTGAACAAACCTGCCTGAACTTTTTCATGTAACTAGAAGTTCATTTGTGGACTATGTCACTGGGAGTAAACAACAACATATGCACCTTTCAAATCTTGAAAGATACTGCCACGTTCCTAGTTGTGTCAGCTCCTACTCTGAGTGAGGGTTTAAGCAATTCTGTTTTGCTACTTTCACTAACTTAAGTATAAACAGTTGGGTTTATGTTGAGTTAATAAATACAAAATTATATCTCATTACATTTATGTAATTTCCTTCAATGGGGGGAATTGAGCTTCTTTGCCTGTGTCTACTGGTCATTTCAGATACCTATTCTATTAAATCATTTTGTATTTGCTCATTTTTCTGTTTTTAAAAATAGAAATATATCCTTATGCCGAACAACTATGCAGCCTTTTGTCATAGGTATCATTTTTATACTTTATAATCTGTCTTTGACTTTATCCCTTCATAAAATTTATGTTGTGCTATAATTAAAGTTTTCATCATTTTATTTTATCATGGTTTTTTGAATTGTAAATAATTCATAAAAGTTGTTCATATCAAATACTTTCACTTTTAACAAATTCATTCATCACTTCCACTGAAATGGGTTAAGTAATCAAATCTTTCATCTATTATGATTTTTTTTGGGGGGGGGGCCCTGGTCGTAGGGCCTGAACTCTAGGCCTGGGCACTGTCCCTCAGCTCTTCAGCTCAAGGCTAGCGCTCTACCACTTGAGCCACAGTGCCACTTCTGGCTTTTTTTTTCTGCTTATGTGGTACTGAGGAATCAAACCCAGGGCCTCAGGCATGAAAGGCAAGCTCTCTACCACTGTGCCACCTTCCCAGCCCATATTATGATTTATATTTTTAAGGAACAGGGTACAAATATATATTTTATTATTTGAAACAATTATTATTTATTTGAAACAATAGTCTTGATATTTTTAACTTTCCATCTTTCTTCCTCTTATTCAAAATACCACTTTCATCATACCTTAGATTTCTCTGGTATTGTAGTGTATTTTTAGACCAGTTTACTTTCCCATTTACTTATCTGTCTATCATACAACACAGAATTTGTAATAACTATTATTCAGAAAATTCTAGGAAATTATAAAATTTAATCACCTGTACTTACTAATTTTTATCAAAGAATATATCAGAATTATTTTTTTCTGAGAATTTCTACCAAGTCGATATCATAATTAGAATATTTAATGTCAATTTTAACTCAATATAGAAATGGCATAAAGTATCAACTGCTAAATTATCTTGAAGGTTTTTGCTGTTCTTGTGTTCTTGGAAGAAAAGAAGATGAAGGACAAAGGCTTTAAGTTCCATATGCTCTATCTATCACACACGTGGCTCTATTAAACTACTAGGCCTTTGATCTTTAGGTAGCTCAACTATTCCAGCAGTTACAATATATATTTTCTATAATTCTCATGAAGAAATCTTACTTGAAAAGTTATAGAATGTCCTCAAATACTATTCTCATGTTCTCAAAGTTTAAGCATATATTATATGTCAATATGATTTAACCATATATTTTTTTTAAAAAACTTACATTTCCCTATCCAATGTGTTTAAATTTAAAGCTGATGTTTCTGCTATTGAATTTTGTCTGATTTAATCACTTTCTGACATTGTAGCTACTTCTGTAACTTAGGAAGGGAAGGCATCAGGATCCTATTTACATGATGTTTTCAATTCTACTTTCAATATTACTCAGAGATGACTAAGCACTTCAGGTAGCTGTCTCTAGCTAAAATCCAGATTCCATTAAAATATATTCACTCCCCAGAGGGAAATAAATGTTTTGTTTTCAACTTCATGGGTCATAACTTCAGGGAAAAATGGGGGAAATATGGGTAGTCTAAATAATGTTTTAGGGATGTGAATATGTATGTTTGGGTGAGTGTGCACTCTGAGGTATCTTGCTTATAGTGGTGGCTATGACTTTACCGCTTGGATTTTATCCTAGGCTAGGAAACAAGTTTGTTGTCTCATAACTGCTGACTCTAAGGAACTAATGCTTAGTCATATGCACCCAGAAAGTTAGCAGCTTTTAAAAGGAAGTGATATATTGATTAATCATCATCTTAAGAGCTAACATTTACAGACTTCTTATGTTCCCATACTAGGAAAAGTAACTTATGTGATTACATAATCTAATACTCACAATGACCTTATGAGGGAAAGGTCAATGAGTATTATACTCGTAACTATTGAGATGGGGCTAGGGATGTAGCTCTGTAGCACAGGCTTGCTAAGCACACCTACTGGGTTTAATCCCCAGCACTGAGAAGAGAAAAGAAAAATCTCACTATGGTAGTAGATAATAGTACCTTTCAAAATCCAGCTTCAGATAGGAAGAATCGGTGAAGTCATACTCCTCGGTCCTTTTTAATGTGTTAAGGCTGCTTATTTAGCTCTATCAACCACATTTTGTCACTTTCTATACTATTAGCAATAAGTTAGAAGTGGCTTAGCAAAAACTAATTGCATGGAGATTGTGATGATAAAAAATGGAAATGTCAAACTTAACAAAATCTAAGATCTGAAGTTTTACACATTTAGATCCTCCTTGTAAATGGACATATTTGGTAAAGATAATATATTACATGGCTTGATATAATAAACATAATATCAACCACATTTTGTCACTTTCTATACTATAAGCAATAAGTTAGAATTGGCTTAGTAAAAACTAATTGCATGGAGACTATGATGATAAAACTATTAATGTCATACTTAACAATGGTTTCCTTTATTTGTAATAACTGGTATATGTCTGAGACAAGCAGAAATGGTCAGATAAGTTGATGTTAGGCAAAATTAACCCCAAGATAAGGACTCAAATGGTTTTTCTTTCTTGCTATTGTTTCTAACATATTTATAAGATGATTTCTTTGTTGCTTTGTATGTCACTCCCCCATGGTATAACCCCTGTTTTTATTGCATTTGATGTTGGTATAATTTGTGCAGGGGAAGGGAAAAAACAAATTGTTTAAATAGGGATACAGGTGTACCCATTGCAACAATGAGATGTACAAGACATTATGCTAAAAAACGAACTTTACAACTGTGCATGGGGGGGAGGGGAGGGCGGGGGGTGGGGAGAAGGAAAGGGATGGGAAGGGGAAACAAAGGAGGAGGCAACAATGCTTGATAAGAAATGTGGGGGGTGGGGGGAGTATGGGGAGGGATGGGAAGGAGAAACAAAGAGGAGGCAACAATTCTTGATAAGAAATGAACTTCTTGTCTTGCCCATGTAATTGTAACTCCTCTGTGCAGTATTTTCACAGTGAATAAATAAATAAGTGGATTAATATAAAAAAGAAATGTGCTCATTACCTTGCTCATGTAATTGTAACCCCTCTGTACAGTATTTTTACAATAAAAAAAGAGAGAGAAAAATCTAAGATCTAAAGTTTTACACATTTAGATCCCCCATTCCTTCTATATGTTGACATATTAGTAATTAATTCAGGCATAATCAGAAACAATACAATTTAGTCCATGGTAACTGCCCTTCAGTCAGATTGTAGAATGTATTTTTACAGAATGTTGCTGAGTAATGATGATGCAAATAGCCTAGAAGAAATTTTAGTGAGAGAACATAATAAAAATAGGGATTCCTATTTGAACTGATGCATCTAAAGCAAGTGCATTCTCTGAAAGGGAGAACAAAAGGGTATGTTGAAAAAGGTTTTGCTATATTACTAATATATCTATTTATTATTTCTATGTAGAAATTTCTATAGCAAAAGTTTGTCACCATGTTCATTAAGTCATTTGCTTGTGTTTCATTTTGTCGTCAAGAAGATATTAGGTACTGAAATCCATTCGTGTTTTCAGCCCCTTAGCATTTGTAGGCATTCACAGGTTGCATTAGATTGCAACCTTCTAAGTCACATGTCTCTAAATTTGGTTTTGGTATGTAATTTATCCTCTAGTTTTAGAATATCCTTCTACCTAAATCCTTAATGATTTTATAAGTTGTGATCGTATCTTTTTCCATGTCTATGTATTTCTAGAGAGAAAAGTTCAATTTTCAAGAAGTATAGAAATTACTCAAGTATACTTCTGAAAATGTTTGGAAAAATGTGTATGTTAATTTAAAAATTAGGAATAGTCAAAAACTATGAAGTCTGAAATAGGGTTTCAGAGCATCAAAATATCATTTTTATTTCTTAATATAAAATATATTGAGAGCAATAATTGAATGCAATAGAAAAAGCTGTTCAAAAACAAAATATCAAGAATGTTACTGGCAGGAATATCACAATTTCTCCTTCATACCCGCACTAATTCTTAAAGCAATTCATACTCTTTCTTTTTTAAAAAATGAAATTGTACTATGATATGGTCGTGACTGCTTTGTAAAATCAATTCTGGTAAGCACACATTAGCTCTGACCTTCAACTAGCACTTTGCACTGCATTTTTTATGTTCCATAAGAGTTCATGGTCTGGAGGGAAACTAATGCATAAAGTTAAATGTCAATTTTCTCTTTTGAGAGTAGGCTTGTAGGAAGATGTTAAACAGGCTCCTTACATGGGTTAAAATTACAAAGCTAAGAAACCATTAAACCTTGCACCCGAATGAGAATCTTGTGTGAACAAGCTAAAATGCATGTATATAAACTTTAATAAATAGCAACAATTCAAATGAAATGCAGTTTCAAAGTCATTAATGAAATGTATTGTTATAATTTAATCAACATGCCATGAAACATTTTTTAATTAAGTTTTTTATTGTGAAAATACTGTACAGAGGGGTTACAGTTACATGAGTAAGTAATGAGTACATTTCTTATCCAGCATTGTTGCCTCCTCCTTTGTTTTACCCTACAGTCCCTTCCCTCCCATCTCCTCAGCTACACAACCACCCCGCCCCTGCCCGCCTAAATTGTAAAGTCAGTTTTTCCACATAGCATCTTGTACATCTCATCTCTATCTGTATCCCTATTTATTTCCAACTCAGGCCATGAAACATTTTAAGAAAACCAAAAAGGCAAAATGGTGGATATGTAAAACACTTCATAGTTTAACTATGAATAGCAAGTATACATACATGGTTTTATGTTTGGAAAGCGGTTTTTTGCTCTATTCCAAGGGAGATCAGCATCAGTGGAAGAAAGGTCCTGAAGGAATTTTGGTAATTCCTGGGAAATAAAGTCATCACAGTTTATCAACATTAGAAATAAATTTAAAAATTCTAAAACATTTGTAAATTCTTAAAAAATCTTTTCAAAATTAAAAAAAATATATTGTAAAGGTGATATACTGAGGGGTAACCATTACATAACTCAGTTAATGAGTACTCAAATTTTTATGACTTGTCATTTTATGCTTTTGATGCTGGGGATTAAGCACAGGAGCTTGTGCATAGTAGCTGTTCTCTGTAGTTCTGTTCTCTTACCCACATCCCTTTTTGTTTTTAGCTAAAAGCACTTATCATAACTGTGAGTAAAATGTCAAATAAATGGTAATAAATTTATCTAGATGTCTACCCTTAATATTTCAAAAGATGTTGGCCTGTTGTGCTATTGTCTTCTATAATTTCTTTGTCCTTCAGGAAGTTCTAAGATGTGGGAATCATGCTCATGACCCTGGTCATATTTTTTCCACACGGTCTCACCAGGTATGCACTGCCTATTATTTAATATTTTATTGTCTACTTAGTGGGAAGAAAGTTCAGTGATTTATTTTTTGTTTTTCCTCCTTGGGCAGTGTGATTTCATGCCTGTTAATTGGTGCAACATTGGTCAGTTCAAGAAGATGCAAAGGTCAATTCCTGTACTCGGTAGGCCTCCTGAAATTGATTGTGGAATGCCAAGGTGCAATTAAGAACAATCAAACATAGAAGGGAAGAGAAGACCTATTATTGACATTGGGGGGAAAAATCATGACATTATCTCTCTACCTTGTTCCTTGTAAGCATCTTTAAGAAAGCTGGTGCCAGAAAACATGTTTACTATTTTGTTGAGACGATGACTTACATTCATGAGATTTATAGTTTTCCATTTTAGAAGTCTAAAATTGCCAAATTTCTTTAAAAATGTTAACATGTGCTTATCCAGTGTGTGTGTGTGTGTGTGTGTGTGTGTGTGTGTGTGTGTGTGTGTGTAATGAATTCAGAGCCTGGGTGCTGTCCCTGATCTTTTTCGGTTGAAGCTAGAGCTCTGCCACTTGAACAACAGCTCCACTTCCAGCTTTTTGGTGGTTAATTAAAGCTGAGTCTCACCAACTTTCCTGCCCAGGCTGGGTCTGAAACATGATTCTCAGATCTCAGCTTCCTGAGCCACCAGCACCAAGACCTTTCCATACTTTTTTGACATTGTTCTAAGTTATCTCTTTAATTCAATATCCTTCCCGTCTCAGTTTTCTTCAAAGGGAAAATGTAGACAGTTGTTTGCCTACAAGTATGTGTTAGGAGAAAGGGAGAGCGTAGGCATCTGATTTCTAAGTGTTGCCATCCATCAAAATCATAGAAAATAATTTATTACCCAACTGAGGAGGAGTTTGTGAAACTGGCTTTCAGAGTAAAGAATGCAAAAGGAAATGTCTTGGAAATCCACCGAAAAGGTACTAACATTTTGTAATAATTTTTCATAGATTTTTCCATTTATACATTTTAGTGAATCTGGTATTGACAGACAACACTCAATCACCAGGCTGGCTGGATAGTAACGTTATACTGGTCTCATTCTCATTAGGGCACATAGCTCTTCTTCATGCTTTAATTTCCTTCAGTGGTCTCACAGATGGGTAACTGCATTGCTTTTATGCTCCTGCATTAATTTCCTCTCTCAATTGTCCTTAATATTTCTCGATTTCTTTCCAAGCTACAATTCCTCTAAAACTTAAACATGTATATGAAGTCCTGACTGATGTTCAGAGGTATTCCACACTTTCTTTATGCATACCACGATCATGAACAGTGTATTTGTCATCTTAAAATACATGTCTGCTTTTCTGACTATACTAAGGGTTTCTTTGTAATAGGAACAATCCATTATACTAGCTAATACTTGTGTTAGTGATTGTTTGTAGTACAGTGAATGTTCAATCATTTTAGTATTCACAGTTCACTGAATATTGCCATATTACAAAAAAGGAAGTAACTGGGTTTAAGTAATTTGTCCAATCCATTTAACTGGTAAGAGCTAACCCAACACACACCAATGTGCCAAACAGAATGCCTATTATATGGTAGGAGTGTATAAATATTTAATGGAAATAAATATGACCTTAGTTAAAATGTTTATCAAAATATGCATCTGATTTCCATTTGCTTATTACACCATAAAAATCTGATTTAAAACAATAAAGCATTAGGATAAACACAATTTTCTAAATAAAACATGTAGTTTCTAAAAGGTTAAGTATGAAACTTTCTCAACATGTGAAAATGTTATTGCTAATAAAACTTTTCACCTACTCAGTCATACATAATGTAATTATACTCGCTCTTATTCTGGTGAAGTTACACTTTTTGTTCTGAAAAATTGAAAGTTCTCTCTGTATAAACCCTAAGAAAAATTTTATGGTTACATTGATTTTGCTAAGTCCAGACCAATGTTACTTAAGAAGCATATCCAAAAAGCTGCAGGAAATGCCATTAATCTCATACTTTTGTTATTATTCTCTGAGAGACTGAAATATTATAATCCTGAATTATTCAAACCAATTGATTCTTTGTTTCATTCTTTAATTCGCATACTAAGAAGTTCATGAAAAAAATAGGAAAAAAGATCCTGGTCCCATTTGGAAATATTTTTATATTATAATTTTTATACTATAATCATCTAACTTAGGAAAGATACTTACAAGTCTCAGAACAGCTTGTAAATCTAATATCTATCTAGTAGTGTTTTTAAATAGCCTTAATTTTGTAGATGTGTAGTGATCATGTTAAAAAATAAAATTATTCCAGCTTTTTAAATAATTTTGAGGTGACAAATTCTGCTGTATATATTTCTACAATGTAATTAAACCTTTACTTCATAATAAGTTACAAATAGGCCTTATATAAAGGGTTGTTACTCATCCTTAAAAAATCAGTGTTAGAAATCATATATTTATAATTTGGGGAAATATCTAAATTTGTTCTCACAATCTTTTGTGCTATTGGAGTACACAAAGAATTATTCATTATGTTGACTGTATCACTATATAAGTTGTTCTTATAGTGAAATAGAAAATAAAATCAGTTAGTGTCTAAGTGTAACATGATCATTTAAATATAAAGCTACCTTGGTAGCATGACCTAACACTTGCATACAGATAAAAACAAACACATCAGTCTAGACTGCATTGTTTCAGATGAGAGACTGGAGAGCGCAGGGGCTGGCCTACCATTGCTGGGAGGTCTGAAGAAGAGCACCTTTTTCTGACACAGTAGGTGAATAATTCTGATCAGGTTGCACTGGAGGCCTCCAAGTGTAACATTACTATCCAAACAATCAACCTGGTAATTGGGTATTGATTATCAAGGCGGGAGTCCTTCATGGCCTTGCCTGCTTAAAATGGACATGAAATGTGGCACATGAAAGGACTGGAGGTCTTGCAATGTTGTGACAACTGCTGGCAACATACCGAAAATTCTTCTTGAAACTTTAGGTTGTTGTTTGTGCACAGCTCTTCGACATGTTGCAGGAAGGACTTCTTGCTTATTGGTCTCCAAGTAAAGGAAGGTATAAAATAAAGCCATGTTAGATTCAACTCTTTTGCTTGAGACTGAGCACTGGCTCCACTAACATTTAAAAAACAAGAGACATTTCAAAATCTAACCATATGATTTTTTTTAAAGTTATTGTGTCATGCTGACCAAGTTCACTTTTTCTCTCTTAAGTTTCTTTGTGTTCATGGTACCAAATTCCTCCAGTTGTTTTTTTAATTGAGTTTAAATTAAGGATCTAACATTCTAATGAAAAAAGCGTTTCAAGTAAACTTAAAGGCATAAAGTTATCACTGAATCCTAAAGCACATAATACCTCTTTGTCATCCAGAAAACATTTTATCCAGTACAAGGTTTTAAAGATATAAAATATTGCAGTGACTTCATTCTCATAATGACATGGTTTTTAAACCCCATGGAGTTTAAATATCCCCGTATTACTTCCCAAGCTAAAATACAGACATGCAGGCTTCACCCCAGAGAGAGAAAAAGCATTTCTCTAGTTACCATGCAATTAGTCATGCTTTTATGATTTATATCCAGCTTAGAGGTTTTTCCAACAAACACACACACACACAAAAGGGAACCACACATTAAGAATCACCGAGTCAGTGAAGCTACAGTTGATATTCAAAAAAGAAAAAAAAATAGTTCACAAACTTACTTGATGGATTTTCTATAACTAAGCAACCTGCAACAGAGATTGTGTTAAATGCATTGTGAGTTGGAAATACAGCTCATTCTGAAACTAGATTAAAATCAGAAAATTATAATGAATCAGTAATACATAACATTATATTCCTTACTATTTTAGGTTTTATTTTGTATTTTTTGAAATTATATTACTTGGCTTCAAATATTGTGCCTCTTTCTTCAGTTAGAAGAGTTACTAATATGTTGTTAAACATCTGAGACTGAATTTAAGTCAGGTCACTTTTTTAATATAGTCCCAGAAAGGCTGGCTTAAAAGAACTAATGTTGACTTAAAAACATTTTACCTAAAGAACATGGTAAACATGAGAGAATCAGTCTGTGAAAAACAGCATTCTATGACCAAAGTAGTATTTAATTAGTTGGACCAATCTGTAAACATGACAAATCATAATCACTTCAGTTATTTTTTTATGTGTGTGTGTGTGTGTGTGTGTGTGTGTTTATGCCAATACTGGAACTTGAACTCAGGGCCTTGGTGCTATGCCTAAGCTCTTTGCTCAAAGCTAGTATTCTACCTCTTGAGCCACAGCACCACCTCCAGTTTTTCCTTGTATTTAATTAGAAATGTAAGAGTTTCATGGAATTTCTTGCACTGGTTGGCTTCAAACCATCATCCTCAGATCTCAGCCTTCTAAGTAGCTAGGATTACAGGCATGAGCCATCATCACCTCGCTTAGACATATTTTTGTGACAGTGATTGACCAAATTATTTCTACTGTAAAGAAAGAGATAATTGAACAGTTACAAAGATTGTGCAACACACACAAACTTAGAGATGAACAGCCTGCTAATAAAACAACATGCACAACAAATTAACACGGCAAAAAGTACGAGGCATAAAACAAGGAAACGTGATGAAGTAAAAAGCCTTTTCAAAGTTTTACATTTCAAATATCATTAGGGAATGTTTTCCTATATTTTTAAGTGAAAAATATTTTCAGGAAGATGTTCTTTTGGATGAATGCAAGAAAATCATTGGATTGAACAATGTGGCATAATGTATATGTGAAAATGACCACACAGAGGCAAGTTCAATGAAGAAAACATGATTTAAAAGTAAGTATACTACATAATAAAAGAGAAACTCGTGTGTGTGTGTGTGTGTGTGTGTGCATGTGTGTGCATGTGTGTGTGCATGTGTGCGTGTGTCTGTGTGCATGTGTGTGTGTGTGTGTGTGTGTGTGTGTGTGTGTGTGGTGATGATTGTAATGATGCTTAAGCAGGCATTACCTTGACAAGTGAATTGAATGATAGGACTTTTAGTGTTAGATGGGTGTGTTCAAGCAAGAGTTGTTTCCTAGTCTCTCCGGATGCCAGCTCAGAAAGAATACCATTATTAACTGTGGCAACAGAGATAAAGTTGCAGAGACTAAATAGAGTTTGGTGGATGAACTTAATATCCTATGATGATTTTAAAAGGGCAGCAAAGAATCTGCTTCTAACTAGATAGCTGTAGAAATGGAGGGATGGGCAACTCAATAACAATCCTTGAACTACGGAAAGGAAAACAGTCTTTCCTCATCAGAGGTTACACATAAAGAGTGGTTGAACTGTCAGGAGTTCTGATCCAAGTTTACTAGTGCTCAGTGCGAAGTCCCAGAGAAACTGCAATGACTATAAGCATCCGGTTTTTATATAATCCTATGGAACTTTTCAAGCCAAACCAAGCGTCCAACTCTACCTTGACTCTCACACCATATTTCTGTTTCACATAGTCTATTGTCTCCTTCCCCCTCACTCTGGTACCAACCCAAATTCTACGTCTTTCTTACTGTCTGATTCAACGCTAACTCCCCGTGGACTTTATTGTACAACTTAATTTATTTTCTTTCTGTGCAATCAAAAATTGAAAGACAAATCACCTAATCCCTTGTGCTATGGCTACTTCGGCACATGTACTAGTGTGCAGACATTCCGGCTCCTAGGCACTCGACAGCTGGAGCGGGATTAACACTCTGCTTCTTTCATGTGCCTCCTTATTCAGAGTGGCACACATTTTACATGTAAGAATGCCTGTCAATGCAGACCAAGGAACACAGAAACAAATCTATCAGTCCTCTAGTCATTGTGAGATAGTATCAAAACAGAATGAAATTTTTTTTTCCAATTAAGGGCCAGAATTTTCACAAGGTCTAAATTCAAATCATTAAGTAGCCACCTTAAGAATCTAAATAAAACCCCTGTGGTCCCACCTAACGTAAGAAGGTAACAAGTGCCAAGCACTTTAGTAAAAAGTTAAAGGTGTGAGCCATTAAATTGTTCTTACCTATTATTAATAAAAATAAATTAATAAGTCAATATCACACCAACCAGAAGGGGTGACACAGCACTGTGTGGTAAATACAGCACTCTGGAGGCCAAGGCAGGAGGCTCCTGTGTTTGAGGCCAGCATTGGCTTCATAGTGAAACCCTATCTCACAAAAGCCAAAACAACAAAGAAGTGGGTTTTGTTTGAGCTTTATGTGCTTTTCCGTGCTTTATGTAATCTGTTCTTCATATTTCTGTGTATGTAACATAAGAAACAAACAGTAATAGCCTAAAATATAAATTTTGTATAATATTCAGTGTCTGCTCATGCTACAACTATGTATAGATTGAAATCTTGAAATACTTATCTAGGCAACTCATATGGAGAAGATATTTTGGCATACATTGATTAAGCTGTTTATTTAATTCTTCCTCTCTTTGTTGCCTTTGGTGTCCACATCATTCAGATTCTTAGCTTCCTGTTATATTCATATACTTGCCCCTTAAGCATCTTCCACATCTTCAGTTTTGTTTTTCTTTACCATTTTAAACTCATTTTTAATGGAAAACAGTATTAATTTAGAAATTTTGTAGTTAGAAAAGATGGGACATATTATGAGAACAATATATTGATTTATCACTGATGAGATAATTAAATTTCTTGTTGGAAAGTTTAGTTCGATAAGCATATAGTTTCTCAAGCTTCTAATCCTAGCTAGTCCAGAGCATAATTGAGGTTGGGAGCATCACAGTTCTAGACCAGCCTAGGGACTGCCATCTGAACAGGATAAAAATGTGTCATAATAGAACCAACTTGTCAATGCAGCTACAAGAGAAGCAAAAATAGGAAAATCATAGTGCAGGCCACCCTAGGCAAAAAGTTGAGAAAAATAACAAAAGCTAAAAGATCTGGGGGGTGGCTTAAGTGGCAGAGTGGCTGCCTTAGCAAGTGCAAAGTCCTAAGTTCAAAGCCTAGTCCTAGCAAAAGAAAGAGAAAAGTGGGAAAGTTTCACTTGACAAGAAAAAAAAAAACTCACAGAAATATATTCCAGAAAGATTATTATTTTCAAATAAATGGTCTGAAGAGTCACTCAAACTTGGGACATTTCTTTTCCTTAATATTTTAAAAACTTTTTTTAAAAAAGTTATTAAATGGAAAACATTTCCAGACTGAGACAGCATTCTCTTCACTTATGGTAGGAGGGTTACTGTTCAGTTGCACTCAGTTCTTTAGTGGATAAAGAAATTTGGAACATATCCAGATTTTAGTAAGATTACACACCACTTTCCAATATAAAGGGTAAACGTTTTTATTACATCAATCTTAGCTGTCTTAAATCTTATACTTTTTTGTTGGAAAGGATATTATTTTACATCTCAGCTCATTTCTTTAAAGTCTATCAAAAACTTAAATTTCACTCAGATTACTCTAGGTGGATCCGGAGTGGAACAATTTATTTATGTTGGCAGTGCTGATTGAAGACCATATTGTCACAGAGACTCAGCTTTCCCTCAGGTCAATTAGTTGGAATCTATAGGGAATTAAACTATATTCCTAATAGAAACCCATAGATGATAAGCTATAGATGAGCAGCTTAAATCAGCTTTGCCAAGGGCATAGGACACTATATTAAGAACTTTATTTTTCAATTTCATCATTTGAGTAAAAAATAAAGAACCTAAAATGTATTGTCTTGTTATAAAAATGTTTAATACCATGTATACTGATCAAATATATTATTAATATTAATATAGTAATAGTATTTTTATGTTTTGCAAAATTTTTAATTCATGTTTTTAGTTTATCCCATCCAGTCACTACTCAGAAATATACATCTGCTACTAACATGGTATTTTATTTATCAAAAGCATCTACTCTGATATTTTTAGAGAAAATTTTTATTTCTTGTTTCTTTAAGTATTAAATAATGTCTTTTCAGGTCCTTCCTCATTATTTTGCCAATTCACCAGTAATTTTTCTGTAGTCCTTAATATAAATAAAAATGTCCTAAGCAATAGATGGTCATATACAGCTGAGGTTCATAAGAGAAACATACCAATTGATTCACTGAGTAATTCGTTATTTGATAAGAAAGACAATAATTTAGTAAATGATACCAACTGTTTTTTTTTCTTTTTTGCCAGTTGTGGGGCTTGAACTCAGGACCTGGGAACTGTCCCTGAGCTCTTTTTGCTCAAAACTAGTGCTCTACCACTTTGAGCCACAGCTCTACTTCTGATTTTTTGGTGGTTAATTGGAAGTTAGAGTCCCATAGACTTTCCTGCCCAGTCTGGCTTTGAACCACAATCCTCATATCTCAGCCTCCTGAGTAACTAGATTACAGCAGGGATCCACCAGCATCCAACTTTAGAGCTTTTTCAATGTTTTCTCATATCTGCATCATCAGTTTTTTAAAGGAGCATCATCAGTTTCAAAGGGCAGCTTTTTGGAGTCAATGTTCCTTCCTTTTCCCTATCAGTATTTTCAATGTTTAGAAGAGTGTCTGGCATTGATAGATAGCCAGTTGGGATTGCTTTCATTTGAACAGGTAAAATAGCCTTTTAGCTGTTGATAGAAATTCAGCATTCTGCTGATGTGAACAGGCTGAGATGAAGTTCCCAATCTGGTACACGCTGAGTTTTCTTTATTACAGAACTTCAGCATGGTAGCAAATTCTTGATACATACCTTATTCACCAACCATGTATTCTAAGTTAAAATCAGGGACAT